AATGTGACGCATATCAGAAAACTGTGCATGTTATGGATGCACAGCTGAAGGACTGTTTGCAAAACACATATAAACTCTTTTTTTTTTTAAAGATTTTATTTTTTTCCTTTTTCTCCTCAAAGCCCCCTGGTACATAGTTGTATATTCTTAGTTGTGGGTCCTTCTAGTTGTGGCATGTGGGATGCCACCTCAGCATGGCTTGATGAGCAGTGCCATGTCCATGCCCAGGATTCGAACTGACGAAACACTGGGCCACTGCAGCAGAGCACGTGAACTTAACCACTCGGCTACGGAGCTGGCCCCAGGTATAAACTCTTATAGGTAGCATCCAGATCAGAAATAGAATAACAGCACCTCAGATGCCCACCTCACGTTCTCTTTCAGTCACCAAACATTTTCCAAACCTCCCTGAATTATTAACTAAGCTCACTTCTAATACCATATATTATTTTTACCTTCTTTTGAACCTTACCTAAATGGAATCTCACAGTATGCACTCTTTTGTGTTTATCCTCTCAAAATTATGTTAATGACATTCACTTATTATTACTGCTGTACAGTTGTCCCTCAGTGTCTGTGGGGATTGGTTCCAGGACCTCCCTTGGCTACCAAAATCCATGGATGCTCAAGGCCCCTTTATGAAATGGTGCGGTCTTTGCATGTAACCTACACATATCCTCTGAATACTTTTAATCATCTCTAGATTATTTATAATACCTAATACAATGTAAATAGTTGTTATACTGTATTGTTTAGGGAACAATGACCAGAAAAAAAAGTCTGTACACGTTTAGTACAGATGCAACGATTGTACGCCTTTCGATGGGAGGTTGGTTGAGTCCTTGGAAGCACAGCCCACGCATACACAGGGCCGACTGCATTGCATTTTCTTACATGAATATAAGACAATATATTTATCCATTCTATTGTTTGGGCCCAATTTTTATATTTATTTGGATGTGCTTTACAGTACTTAGTGCATTTTCTCTATGTTCATTAATTTAGCATTATTAAACAAAAAACTGTTGTTTGGGCACCCAACCAATTGCTGGCATACACATACAGCACGGTGCCATGTCCCCAGGGGGAAATATAGGCTTATTTGAGCAATGGGGAATCCGTTCCTCCTCCCCTGCAGGTTGTTACAAGCAGGTTTTTGTTGAGTAGGTATACTGACACCATGCAGTTTGGCACTACTTGCCTGACATATTTTTTATGATGGCATAAAAAGATTTTTCTATTTTAAATGTCATACAATTGGTATATTTGAGAAATGGAAGCCTTTGAATCATAGAATCTCAGTCAGACAGTTCTTTAGATAGTATAAATTGGTATCTTCTTTCTTGGAGATAATTGAATAATTTAGCCGTAATTACCAAACATCTTTGAAAAAATGACATACCCTTTGACTCTAAGTTCTCCTCTGAGACTCAGCGGCAGTCTAAGTTCAACTCCGTGCTTTTCCACTTACTGACTGTGTGACCTTGATCAAATTGTCTACTTCTCTCTACTACCTTTCCTCATTTGCACTTACCTCATTGGGTTTTTGTGATGGTTAATTAAATTAATAAAGTTATTATTATACAAAGAAGATGTAGAGAAAACGGACAATGATGTATGTTCAAAGATGCTTGTTTCCATGGTGTGTTAGGAGTGAAAATTTGAAGCCAACCTGAATGTCCAATCCTGCAAAAATGAGAAAATAAACTGGGGGTATATTATGTACATAATAAAATGTTATACAACTATTTAAAACAATGTTTCCAAAGAACTTAAAAAGTTGTGGGCATAATTATGAGTATGTGTTGCAAAGTGTAAAAAGCAGGCCATAAAATTGCATATAGTTGGATCCCAATTATATAAAGATATACATTCATGGCGAGAAAGACTTGGGGTATATGCATAAAAATGTTATGTCTTGGTGATGGGATTCTCTTATTTATTTATTCATTTGTTCACTTTTTCCAGCTTTACTGAGGTGTACTTGACACATAAAAATTGTACACGGGCATGTGTTGCTTAACAACAGGGATACGTTCTGAGAAATGCGTCGCCAGGCGATTTCGTCATTGTGCAAACATGACAGAGTGAACTTACACAAACCCAGATGGAATAGCCTACTATGCACCTAAGCCATATGGTACCAATCTTATGGGACCACCGTCGTATATGCTGTCTGTCGTTGACCAAAATGTTGTTGTGACAGTATATTTAAGGTGTACAACATGATGTTTTGATGGGTGGTGGGGTTCTGTTGTGAACTAAATTTTCTTCTTCTTCTTCTTCTTCGTTATTATTATTATTTTGTATTTATTTAAAGTGAACAGAATTAACCTTTCTGAGTATTGCCATAAATGAACTAAAACAAAACAAAAATAAAAGCATCAGGAGATACTGTTCAAGGGAAAAGCAGGGCCCTTGGCCCTGACAGACTGCCCTTTGGTGAGGCTGGACGCCTGAACTTTCTGATCACAGCTGCCCTCTCGGGCTGTTTTTCGATGCATGCAGTACGTTAAGGAGTGCACCGCAGCAAACGGTGCGGAGGCCTGGACTTTTTAAAAGTAATCCCACTTCCTTCTTTTTTAAACAAGAAGGTAGCGACCGCCCTGGTTATATGTGTCATTTCAGCACTGGAGTTGGCTCTGGGTCCTGAATTGTTGCAGCCTGCTTGCCTGGTAATCTCCTTGTCTGCGTGAGTTGTTAGGGGCAACCAAAGGCAGCTGATTACTTAATTGTTGAAGGCCGGAAACCAGCCTCTTTAGTTAGTTGCCATCAGGATCTTGAGAGCAGCCGGTGTTTGGCCTAGCCAGGTTTTCCATCCTCCCTAATTCAAAAGCTATAATTTTTCTGGTGCAGCCACTGAGGCTTTGGCCCTATGAGTTGTATACAGAATCAGCTGCATATTAAAAACAAATTGAAATTCTTCTATAGTCAATAACAGATCATTGATTTAAGGCAGGTGGATGAAACCATCTTGATGTCACTGAGATACAATTCAGTCTTTTCTTTGAAGAGGCATAAGGTGGTCTGTTTCCTGTTTCATTTTTTTTTTTCTTTTTGAGGAAGTTTAGCCCTGAGCTAACATCTGCTGCCAATCCTCCTCTCTTTGCTGAGGAAGACTGGCCCTGAGCTAACATCCTTGCCCATCTTCCTCTATTTTATGTGGGATGCCTACCACAGCATGGCTTGACAAGCAGTGCGTAGGTCTGCACCCAGGATCTGAACCGGCGAACCTTGAGCTGCTGAAACAGAACTTGCGAACTTAACTGCTGTGCCCCTGGGCTGGCCCTCCTGTTTCATTTTTATTAGATCCTTGACTGAGGATACTGGAGTGCTTGGAATTTGTGAGTACCTGGTATTCATACCAAGCAGAGCTGACTTCTCAACGGATCTGTTTTCCTCTGTAGTCTAGGGGATTGGTTGTTACCTGCAAGTGCAGCCAATCTAATGTCCAAATTCAGTTATTTATATGGATAGTAGTGTTTTGAGGAGTTTAATTTGCCTTTAGAAAATAAGATTTCTCTTCCTCTCCCTCCCATCACCCCCACGTTTGGTTTTTCGAACACAGAGCTATGAGAACCTAATGCCAAAGCAACCAGTAGAAAAGGAAAACATCCACATAATTGCTGGTTGTTTTGTCTACACAGCGTGAAACAAGAAGTTGGCATGATTTTATTTTTCACCTAGTTGACAGTTTTGTTTTGTTTTGTGTTGTTAGATTTCTCTGGACTGAAATGATTTGTTGATTTGGTATTGTGTAAATCAACCCACTTCCACAATACCTGTGTGACTGTTAGGCAAAAAAAATGTAAGTGAAGAGTGAAAAGGATAATTAAACTCAAAGGCAGGAGACTTTGTGATTTTGTTCCAGCTTCGTCGCCAACCAGTTACGTGACCTTGGGCAGAGCATTTCACCTCCCAGGGCCTCCACTTCCTTAAAGGTAAGATGAGGAGGCCGGGAAAGACAAGTCATCAGGTGCCTGGTAGTTTCACCTCTTGCTCTTTGACCCGGATGCAGAACCCAGCTGTAGTGTGATCCCCAGAGATCGGCTGGTGACTAGCATTTTTGATTGGCTCAGGCAGAGAACCAGTTTTGTAGCTGATTTTTATTTTTTTTTAAAGATTTTATTTTTTTCCTTTTTCTCCCCAAAGCCCCCCAGTACATAGTTGTATATTCTTCATTGTGGGTCCTGCTAGTCGTGGTATGTGGGATGCTGCCTCAGCGTGGCCTGATGAGCAATGCCATGTCCGCGCCCAGGATTCGAACCAATGAAACACTGGGCTGCCTGCAGCGGAACGTGGGAACTTAACCACTCAGCCACGGGGCCAGCCCCTGTGGCTGATTTTTAGAACCAGATCATAATTTGGGGCTGGATTTTTACATTTAAAAATATTTTTTTCCGATTTCTTATTATAAATTCTACATATTGCTTGAAGGAAACTTAGCAAATAAAAACTAGCAGAAAGGAGGAAATTTAAATCACTTATAATCCTACCCCGAGATATGACTAATGTCAACACGGTATACCTGTTTCCAGATTTATATAGATCATCTAAAAACAGTGAGTTCTGCTATAACATTGTTTTGAAAACATAAATTTGTTTAACATGATTAATATTATTAGGGAGCAATTTGAGAGAGGGTTTGTCTATGCACAATTTCTTCTGGGAGAAGCAGTAGGCGAACGCAGAAAACTGCACACAGCTACACACGCATGCACACTCCCCCTCACAAGGACAATGAGCGCAGTCACTGACCTCTGGTGTTAGAATGTTTTGTCCTGTTTCAGATAACCCTCCTTCCATCACTTCACAATGACTGGCAACCTGCACCCCTTCCCTCCCCTGGCACCCTGGCTCCCTGGCCAGGCCAGCGCCCTCCCTGTCTTTGATTTTTCCCTCTTTCCTCTCAGCCAATTTTGTATTGTTCCTCTCTGTTCTCTGTCTATTTTCCACTCTTTATCTCACTTTTCTCTCACTCTTTTTCTCTCTCTCCACAGTTTTTACCTCTCCCACAGAGGACAGTGGGCGTGGGAACCCAGCAGGCAGCCTGACAGCCAGGCAGACACCTGCTTCCACAACAAACTGCAGGTCTCTTTCAAGGTAAAGTGCCATGTTTATAAAATGCACATTTAACGTGTGTAAAACTGTGCTGTTGTTTTTCATTTTTCAGTTCCTTTTTTTTTCCCTCACTGTATCACGGAGGTTTTTGAGTGTGGTGCCCCAAACCTGTTTTCTCATAAGTCTTGTGATTTTTATTGCCTGATTTTGCATATTGCAATGATAACTAATACTTAGCAATTAAATAATAATTATTAACTAAACAATAATTAGACATAGAAGAATAAACTATAATTTATTTAAACAGTTGTTTAACTGTTTAAATAATAAATTATTAATTTTATTAAATTTCTACCCTTGAGTACACATCGTATTAATATTCCGTGTGAGGAAATGAGAAGTGCTCATAAGGCCCTTCTGCTGTGGACTGAAGTAACGAGGACCATCTGGAGGAAAAGCCCTGGAGTGACGGTTTGAGTTTCCAGTTCAATTTCTCAGTTTAAATTTCTAATACAGCAAATATTAAGAGATGCAACCCACACAAACATAAGCTCTGTGGTATACTTAATAATTTTTAAGAGTATAAAGCGGTCTTGAGACCAAATTATTTGAGAACACCCCGTTTCCTGGAGCTTTTCATTCTTGTAGCAAAAGTCTAAAATTTCCTTAGTGAGTACTTTTTAAGTGTTTATCTAGATACTGCCCAACTGCCCTCCAGCAATGTGGTACTGGTTTATATTCTTATCGTTAGTGTATGAGTCTGCTGATTTCATCTTGACTAAATTTAATTAATGTCCCAGGTCACTGAACACCAGCTAGAATGCAAAAATGGGGTTCACATCAAAGTTACGCCAACTTTTTAGAAATAAACGGAGCTTCTTTATTTTGAAGTTTAAAACGCCTTTGAAATGTACTTATTGATGCATTAGTAAACTTTTAGTTAGAGATGAAACCTCCTGTTTTGACCTCTTCTGAGAGGAAAATACTAGAAAGGGGACATCACAAATATCTATATGACTCAACAGTTCCAGGCTTGGTAAGAAAACAAAAAGGGGGCGGACCTTTAAATATTGTGGTCTGGGACACTGAGTTATGAGTTAAAAGCCTTTCTTTTGCATACTCACAGCCTGGAGGAAATACTCTCTTCAGGTAACTATGAAGACACTGCTTAGAAAACAGTGCAGCCTCTTAGAATAGAAACATATGGAAACTGTTGTCCTGGCCGTCCCCGTCTTTCTCCTGGCCTTCCCTTTACCCAGCCTCCTCCCTTCCCCTCCTAATTAGACCACTTGAGTCCATATTCTCAAGGAGGCGTTTTAAACAAGCCTCGGTCTCTCCAAGAACTGAAAGGAGTTTGGCGAAGCTGAAAGGGAGTTGCCAGAACTAAAGCTGGTCTTCTGTCTCGTTTTTCCTTTCTTTACCTTAATTAATCCAGATTTGGATTCAAATCCTCTTCTAATTTTCCTCAGATGCTTTCTGGTTGCTTTTGTTGTGTAACACGATATACTAAATAATCTTTTGTAATTATATGGAATAGAATATATTTCTTAAATCACATCCATCTGAGACTCTCCAGAAATTCTGCATGTACCACTGCACTGACCTCTTGGTGTTTCTGGGCTTTTTTAACTTTCAGGTATCGGAAACAAAGCCATCTATTTCACTGGTGGGAAAACAGACTGAAAACTAATAGTTTCACTACAAATAGGTGCATCCCGTAATGGAATACTATGCAGCTGTAAACAAGAATGAAGAAGCTTTCTTTGTACCAATAGAAAAAGAGTTCTAAGGTACGTTTGTTGGGTGAAAAAAGGCAAGGTTCAAGATAGTAAGCCTAGAATGTTGTTTTTCGTGTAAAAAGTGGGAAAATATGAATATATATTTGCATTTGCTTGTTTTTGCATAAATACTGGAAGAATATATAAGAAATTGAATACAGTGGTAATGTTTGGACGGGAGGAAGGGAACAAGGCAGGTGGAAGAAAAGGATAGGGACAAAACTGTTCACCTTGGGTCTTGATTGTTTTGAATATGTGAAGGTATTGTTTTCTTAAAAATTAATAATAATAATATTTAAGAATTACGCTTGTGTTCAGGAAACAGAACCATGACATGTTAGTAGCATGTGAGAGAGCCCAGACCCTGAAAGGAAGGAGGCACTTTCTCACAGGTTGACATTTTATTCATCATTCTGGGATTCTTCACCTTATTAATGTGTGTGACAGGCTTGACCTTAGGTCTTGGCAGCTCTTCTTAGTTGGAGGACATCCCTGACGAGGAGGAAGTGAGCCTTTTCCTCCCCCCAGGCAGAGACAGGACCCTCCTCTGCCTTCCTCGCATTCTTCAGCTGTCTCGGTCATGCTGGAACTGGCACTACCTACTCTGGCAGGCAAGGGGAGGAGGCAGCCACGGGTTCTGGCACTGTCCCCAAGGTGAGCTGTCTGTGACTGCGGGTATCACGGAGAAAGCGTTGAAGAGCTGGCAAAACCAACCCCTTGCTTTCTTTGCAGGATGATGAAGATGCTAATACTGGGGCAGTGGAAAGCAAACTCTGAAGGTTTTGATTCAAAGACTATGCTCAGAGGACAATGCTATTAATGATCCTTGGCCGAGTCCAAGTTTGTTAATATTCCGGATACCTTAGAATAGTTCAGCAGCACATATCTAATTTGAAGTAATTTATTCTGTTAATATTTTGGTTTTCTGCTGCCAGGAACTCTGGGCATATGGCATTCCCCTAGGACATGAAGAAGGAAACCATTATGGGTGATAATAAGGAACGTGCATTCATTGATATGTTTAGCATCTTGACTTGAAGATGAAATTCTGAGCCACGACTCCCAGTGGCTCCCCAGCTGTGCACAGGTTAAAGGACATTTCACTGTGACTGCTGTGTTTATTCCAGTAACGTGATGACTCTGAGGGCCACTCTGAGCCTTGGCTTTGTGACGGAGATAAGAATCCCCTGGGATGCTTGCTAAAAATACAGATTCCTGGACTCCACCTGAGGCCTGGAAATCTGCTTCGTGACAACTGCCTCAGATAATTCTTATCTGGCAAGTTTGGGAAACATTACATTTTAGAATCTTGAGAGGAAAGTGATTTTTACTGAATCCTCCTGTCTTTAGGCTGACCTCTTCCACCAGGAATGATAAACGTCTGTTCCCAGAAAGAAAGGAGCAAGCATTCTCCACACCTGGGATGTCGTCATGTATTAAACCTCTGACAGAACCTTCATGGCCTTCATTTGGCTTTGCTGGTGACTCATAATATTCCACTTTTAGGATGAAGGAAGTTAAATACTTGCTATTCCTTCACAGAAGTTTCTATTTTAAATGCAGAGCTCAGAAATCTGTGGACAGCCAGATGTAACGTTCAGGGTTGTAATGGACAGAGGCATCTCTTAACAGCTACATAATTCAATTACCCTTGCAACTTCACAATTCGCCACATCCTGGTTCCCCTATCAGACACATACGGGCCTCTAAAGGGGACAGACTAGGTCACAAGAAGAGTATGTTGATGTGGCATCTCCAGTGGGCACAAGGAAATGCCCCTCCTATAAAAGAACATACTTTTGAGCCTGGTGGTGTAGTGGTTAAATTCACACGCTCCACCTCGGCAGCCTGTAGTTCACAGGTTCAGATCCCAGGCGCAGACTGACTTACACACTGCTCATCAAGCCATGCTGTGGTGGTGTCCCACATACAAAGTAGAGGAAGATGGGCATGGATGTGAGCTCAGCAACCATCTTCCTCAAGCAAAAAAGAAGATTGGCAGCAGACGTTAGCTCAGGGCTAATCTTCCTCACAAAAAAACACAAACGAGAAACAAACAAAGATATTTTCATCACTACATACTAAAAATCCCCAACGGGAAGGTTCTATTTAGTGAAGTTGAGAAGTTTGAATTGGCCTTTTCTAAGGTAGAAGAGGTTAAAAGTTAAGTGGATCTTCCAGTGGGGTTCTCCTAGTAGTACCTTTAAAGTTATCAACCACATGTGACCTCGTGACCGTGTGAGCAAAAGGATTTATTTTGACTTGACTTAGCTGATCAGGAGAACAGACAAGGTAATAAAAAAATTAAAAAATTTGCTAACAGGTTGTTTGACAGATTTTTGGTTTTGATCTGTCATCATTGTATCAAATCAGTCAAAATGGCTGAAATTTTGATGACATAAAAGGCAGTCCGAGTTTTAAATTCACTATATTTTCAGCGAACTTCACTGCAGTGCCAGTAGAACTCTTCCCACCAATCTCGTGCAAGGGCACTGTGGCTGTTTACTCAGTCTGCTCTTTATACGTTCTTATTTTCATTCCTCCGACTTGATCTTCTCTTAAGCTGCACATTTCTTTTCACCTAAACAAAACAACACTTTTCTTTCTTCCAGTCCTAGAAGGAAGGAAGGAAAGAGAAGGGAAGAAATTCAGCCCTGAATACAGAGGTGGATGCAGGTTTTATGGGGCCTGAGGCTTATGGGGCCTGAGGCTTATGGGGCCTGCCCTCTTTAAGAAAAAGAATGCAAAAATAGCGACTTCTGCAAATTTTATACAATCACGTGACCACATGAGCCCATTGCTAGGCCCCTCCCAGCATCTTGGAAGGAGCCCCTGCTAGTGAAGGACTCAGAAGCTGAACTTCATCGATTTTATTATAAATAGCTTTTGTCTGAATTCACCTTCTTGTCTTCTGAATTGAATACTTTCAATTAATTTTATTTCCTACCTTCAAAATTACACAATTCTTTTTTTTTTTTTTAGGAAGATTAGCCCTGTGCTAACTGCTGCCTATCCTCCTTTTTTTGCTGAGGAAGACTGGCCCTGAGCTAACATCCATGCCCATCTTCCTCTACTTTATATGTGGGACGCCTACCACAGCATGGCTTGCCAGGCGGTGCCATGTCCGCACCCGGGATCTGAACCCGCGAAACTCGGACTGCCGCGGAATGTGCACACTCAACTGCTGTACCACCGGACGGGCCCCAAAATTACCCATTTCTGAATGAGTAAATGAGTAAAGGTATTCCCGTGCCCAGGTAAAGGGTAAAGCGTAAACAGATTCTCAGATGAGTTCCCTGGGGTTCTAATGGGGCCCAGGACAAGTTGGCTTCCACCATTCCCCTCGTCTTCCCAGGACTTGGCTTTGGGTGCATTTCTGCTGCGTCCTTACTTTCTTTTGGTGGCATGGAAAGAGCCCAGGGCGGGGGGTCAGGAGGCCTGGCTTCCAGTCCCATCTTCAAAACTACGGTATAGAGAGGACTAGAGAGGAAGAAGCAGCCGCTGAGCTGCATAATTCCCCAGAAGGAGAGGCCGAGGCCTGGAGAGCTGTGGCCGCTGACCCTGGGTGGACTCCCAGTCCAGTGCTCTGTTCATCTTATACTTCTTCTTCCTCTATCTCCTTCTAGCTGTGCATTTCTGGGAAAAGGACTTCTGACCCTTCTGAGGCTTGGTTTCCTCCCCTGTACAAGGAAGGGCTAGAACCAGATAATCTATTAATTCCTTTCAGTTTGAATCTTTTCTGGTTCTCTGGCTACTTTTTCTGTTTTGGTCAACCTGATGGGCGCTCAGCTCCTGGATGACCTGCCTGTGTGTAGCGCTAGCGCGCAGCCCGGGTTTTGCCGGATGCTCTGAGTGGCATGGAGATTTCATAGCGCCAGGCCTCAGGGCGGGGTAGTGCGCAAAATGGCTTTCACCTTGGCCCTACTGACCTCTTGAACTTTGTTAATGTGATAGTTGTCAGAGGAGCACAGGGCCAGAAGGGCCCTGAGGGGACACTCATGGCTCTGTTTTATCACAGAAATAAAGAAACAGAGGCCGGGAGACCCTCCCAAGGCTGCTTCACAAGCATTAATGACAAAATTGGAACTGGGGTTCCCTGATTCTCAGTTTGATGTTTTTCCCACTACATTCTTCTCAGCCTTTGGATGGTCACTCCTGGTCCATAAGTACCCAAGTTTAGTTCTAATAAAATTGCTTCTGGGAGACCCAGCTGTGTTGTCCACTGAACAGACTAAAGTAAGGATTCTGGTTGGGATCCATGTTGAGGCTATTCTTGTTTATCTTTATTGTTTATGTATTCAAATTGAAACATGACTGTTTTTTTTTGAAGAGTAGCCCTGAGCTAACATCTGCCACCAATCCTCCTCTTTTTGCTAAGGAAGACTGGCCCTGAGCTAACATCCGTGCCCATCTTCCTCTACTTTATGTGTGGGACGCCTACCACAGCATGGCTTGCCGAGAGGTGCCATGTCTGCACCCAGGATCCAAACCTGTGAACCCCCAGGCCGCTGAAGTGGAACGTGTGCGCTTAACCGTTGTGCCACTGGGCCGGCCCGAAATATGACTTAGCTTATTAACGCATTTCCTTATACTTTTCATGGGTCTGTAATTCTTTCTGCCAATGTTATAAACATAAGGGATGGCAATTTTAATTTTGCTTCTAGAATGTTCTCCTACTGCAAGAAGATCACAGGTAAGTTAAACTCTGTGAATCTTTCTATCAAATTATCTTCTGCTTCCTCTTCCTTACAAACTAGATTCTTTGAAACTAGCTTTGATAAGGTACACATCCTTATGTTTGCCTGCCAGGTTCAGTGCCTTCAGTTGGCTTATCACTATCATAGATGATCTCATTGAATGTGAGGAATGTTATTAAGGCCTTGAGACAACACATTGAGAATTTAGAGGTGGAAGGCATTCCTTCTGTTAGTTGAGAGTGGGAAAAGCTTAACGCAGAGACGCTATTTGAATCTGGGCTGAGAGGGCAGGAGGATGCTACAGGCAAAGGTGAGCAGTATGTGCATGTATCTGGGGAGTACGGTCCATGTTTGAGGATGAGTGTGGGCTAGTGTGGACCCTCATTGTCATCAGCCATGCCAGCACTCGCTTGGTTTGGCAGCCACTAAGTTGCGTGTGTTGATTCGCTCATTTATCACTGTGAGGGCGAATGGCCTTTGCCATCAGCTCCTCTTGCCCTTTCTTTGTCTATAAATAAATTTTGCTTCTGTTTCCTTATGTACGCATTTTTCTTTTTTTCTCTCTTTTGGTAGAAATAGTCTTTGTAAAGTACACATCATGAAAGATAACATGTGTTAGCTATGTACCTGGGAAGGTGAAATTCCACCATTTAGCAGCTAGTCTTGGTCTACACGTTAAGAACTCTTTTAATGGGCAAGAACATTTTCTCCTCATTATCACCTCCTTAAGTTGAATAAAACTAGGAGGCCTGGGCTTGGCCTGGGGGGTGTTCAAGGTGATAATGAGATAGCATTTTGTCTTACTTATGCCTTATTTTTGTTCTTGGTGTATTGCTTTTTTGTCTCTGCTAGATTTTCAGTTGTTCCAGCAGGGCCCGTGTCATTTCAGTGTTGAATTCCTCCCCGTGCCAAGCTCATGCCTGGCACACAGTAGGTGCTCAGGCCATCAGAAATTCAGGGTGAGGTTTCCAAAATTTTCCTGATAATAAAATCAAAGGGATGTTAAGAGAGTAAGCAATAGCTCCTGATTCACGTCAGATTGATTTCTATATATTTGTCATGGAGACCTTTCTTTCTAGTGGCGGGAATACTTCTATGCACTCTGCTTGAACGCTCTTTTGGGAGTCCAGGTGTTAATCAGAAGGTCGCTTGGTGAATACAGAATCTGAGCGGTAAGTGGTTGAGAGTCACGAGGGTTATTCCGTCCAGTCTTGGTGAAGCCAGAACAAGCACAGTGCTTTAGGCACACATACCATCACCCACCACATTTATTCTCCCACCCCTGCCGGAGACCTGCCTCATTCGCAGACCCCAGCAGACCTTCCGGGCAGCTTGGTGTCAACAGGGTCAGATGCAATCCATTGCTGACGAAATCTAAGGTAGGACTACGCATTTTTTAAATTGTTCACTCTGAGGTTAATCTTCTTTCTATCTGGGCTGCTGGACAGTGTCCAATTGTGTGAGTGAATGAAGCGAAGAGAAGAGGTGTGGCATGCGTCATTTTCACTCTATCTCATTTAATCCTCCTGACTACCCTGGCGGGTAGACAGAGCTGGGATTCGAACCCGGCTGATTGCAAAGCCTATATTCTTTACTCTACATTACACTGCCTCCTCATGGACACTCTAGGCACTCCATGACCTCACTCCCATCTATCCAAACATCTCACCTCTCTCTGCTCGTGCCTCCCCTAGGAATGCCAAACTGCTCCAAATGCCTTGTCTGTGCCGTGCTGTGTCTGATCCACAGGCAGAACAGCCTGCTTGTATTAGACTTGTTTGGCTGAGATTTGAGTACCCAGGACCCAGGACCAGGAAGATAATGATGTTACAAAGAGAGCAAGTAAAAAGGAGTATAAATTTATTATGTGCCATACACGCTATGTAATTGATCCTTAATATAGGTTGTTTCATTTAGTCCTCATAATTAATTCATGCAGTATCTGTGAGGGGGTCAAGAATTTAGACTCTGGAGCCAGTTTCTGGGTTTGAATCCCAGCTTTACTACTTACTAGCTGCATGACCTTGGGCAGGTCACTTACCCTGTCTCTGCATTAGTTTGTTTCTCCATAAAATGGGAATGATAATAATGGAACTGGACTTGTGAGGTTGTAAGAAGGATCAAATCCACAGTGTCTGGTACATGGTACACTTTATCCAAGGGTCAGCTATTATT